ACGTTTAAAGATGAGGCGCAGGAGTGACATACTCTCCTAGGCACTACTTTCTTGAGATAGATAGATTCAATAACAATACTTGGCCCGACACGGAACTCGAACTCAAAATCACTGGATCGCCGCCGTATATTTTAGCCACTCAACTAGTCAAGAAAATATCTAAATTCAAAAGAAAATGTCAATCCATTCCATTGTGACTGTGTAAAAGACAACAAATAATTAACAAATATATACTTTTATTTTTTCAAAAGGTACTAAAGTAAGGTGGTTCTTTTCTAGTACCTGGGCGATTGAGCTTCGCTCGGAGTTTTTGGCCAAAAGTACAATTTTCTTTTTAATTTAGCTGAAAAACGGAAAAAAAACAAAAAACTTGAATAAATACAAAAAAAAAACAATACAAAGACCGGGATTCGAACCCGGACACCTGTAAGTTGACCACGATGCTTATGCCCGAGAATAATGCGAAAGAAAATGTAATGAAAACTCCAAAACACGCGTTTTCCCAGACATAAGAATAATCTAGATCGATTTATCTCCCCCAAAAACTCCCACATCCCAAAACTTTAACGAAATCATTAGAGCTGTTTCCGAGAGCGTCGGTATAAATAAATAAATATACAAGAATTGCTCGTTTAAAGCTGTTAGATTATATTTTCTTTATTGACTTTTCAAGTTGATTTCGCTAAAATTTGCCTTAATTAGTACTGAAAACTGATACTGAGTTTTATAATGAAGTAAAAAAGTTTATATTAACCGATCAGGGTCTTTCGAGAAGACAATAAGCTCAATCAACTTACAACTTATACGCTAACCTTTATTGTAAAATAGGCTTTGGAAAACTTTGTATGCTTTAAATATAACTAAGACGTATATGAGACATTAAATAGAATAAGTACGTATATGTAAGAACATATTTATTTTACTGCCTCATTGTTAAGTGCTTATCATATGTACGAAGTTCCGGGTTCAATTTCCGGGTCCAACTCCCGGGTCTTGACTGACTGACTCGCTGAGTTTCTTTCAGAAATTGTGCTCAGGAATATATATATATATATATATATATATATATATATATATGCTAGCTTACCTGGAAGAATTTTTTTCAATCAATAATTATATTTATGAAAAACCTATACGTATGAAAAATAATATACTTTGACTTTTCACTGAATTTCGCTTCGGACGACAATAAGATAATAAACTTTAACATAATTTAAATGAAAAAGGTAATTATAAAATTAACAAATACTCATAAGTATGATGTAGGTTATATTGTAACTGAATTGAAAATTGTTATTTTAAACAAATAGAATCAAAATGCTGCGAATATTGAGGTTTAATAATGTATGTTATAAGCTGTGGCCGGAAGATATATTAAACAATACTTCAATAGAATATTCATGGAACAACTTGAGCTCCACTTAACCTTGCGATAGGATCGGTACTTAATAATATGATAATGGACTATCCATTAGGCTGCGAACATTTAGCTCTATTGTAACATGTTGGTAACTTTAAACAAAACAAGCAATATCTGATCATAATTAGTAAGAATATAAAAAAAATATTCATAATGATTGGCTATATTTTATAAACCTCATTAAAGGCTGTTTTTACTTTATTATGATGCTCTTTAAAAAAGTTTATCTGAACTGAACCAACAGTCTGTACAGTATTCAGGTATACCGTAAAATAAAGTAGTAAATTGTAAGGACGCTAGTTTAATATTTTTTACCTTGACTGTAAAATAACAAATAACAAATAAAAGCTAGCTTGCATGAAACTCATATGTTCTATCCCACTTTCTCAATCTTAACTCATAAATTTCCTAGTTATGACGCGTACAATCATAAACAAAATCCCAATAAAGTTTTTACGAGCAACCTGTATACGGAATTTCAACGGCCCACGGTCGGGCTTTTGCCGTCGCGCGGCGCCGCGCGGTCCTCGATATGGCACAATAAGCTTATAATGTCGCAATACTGGAATATCTATTTAATGAGATGAAATGTGATATCAATAGGGATCACATTTGTATTGGTTTGTCTTTAAGAGGGGATTTAGACCGTTTTTGGATAATACTCCGTATTTACGCGCGCGGGCTGCTGAGGTGGAGGGTTCAGGGTTCAATTGTAAAAAATATCAAAAATTTATGTGCGAGCGACGTTTGATAAGGGTTAAGCCAAATTGACGATTATCTCAACCTTTGCTTGATTTTCATGTATTTATATAAACAACAAAGGCCTCGTGAAACTTTCATACTTTGTAATAATTCCTCTTTAAACCATTTTACTCAAAGTTTTTCAATTTGTTAAATTAAATACATGTAAAGCTGTAGCTTCGTATCAATTATTATTATAAATAAAATTAATTAATTAAGCAGAAAGAGGGAAAATATCACCCTCCTATAATCTTTTAACGTTTACCTCCACCCCTTATTATACCTACCTTCTTGAGATAAAATATCGAAATCGCTCCAAGGTTATTTTTTGCAATAGACTAATATTTTACGGGACCGTCCGTATCCGGGGAAAAAAAGCCTATGTCACTCACCGGCCCACACTACCGTATAGCTTTGCAAAGAAGTATACAAATTCGTTGCCTCTTTGTTGTGTGAAAAGAAGGACAAACTAATAAAGATACCTTTGCATTTACCATTTCTGACGGTAATCGTCAACATAAGCTAGGCTTTTATTATTACATCACTAACGAAAAAAAATCTTACATAAATACCTCATACAATAATAATAAACTAAAATAGTTATTTGATTGTTGGTCGGATCAGAGTTCATATTCAGATACCTTTCCGTATAATTATAACTTACGCCATGAATTAATTATTAAAATTACTGTGCTTAGACTAGTACATGTACTTAGTACGACTAGCCGTATCCCGTGTACCTGGTAGTTAAATGAGTCCGTAATCAGCTCGATTTTCCCATTAGTATCGATATTAATATGTAAATAAATTATATCTATACACTGCCTTGTAATTATAATTTTGCCATTTGCGAAATGGTAATGAATCGAGCAATTTTGCTTAAATTTAATATTTAATTCATGTTTCCTTCTAACGTATTACACAAAATGTAAGGGTCAAGCAATTTCCTGTTTGGTGCTCGTTTTTAACAAAATATCTACATCAATATTACAACACCCCGGGGAAGCCCCGTTGCAAGCGTTTATAAAATGCGTCAGCTTTAACAAAAAATACGTTTTATGGTGTCCAGGGGAAAGGTTAGTATTTGTTATTGTGTTATATCTGTGACAACCACATTTCATTTAAAACTTTTTTTAAATAGTTCTAAAAAATATATGACCTGCTTGATAAGAATGCTTGATATGTTAGTAAAAAATAGGGCCAAAGGAGAAAGAGAAAAAGGGATAGGCTGATTGGATCCCCGCCTACTCTCTTCGAACAAACGCACGTACAGGTTCCACCACTTTACGTTGGTATTTTGTAAGCATAACAGTAGCCTTCTCTGGCCCTTACATAATATGTATATACTGAAATCTTCAAGATTCTGCTACACTTTGTGTTTTATGTCGCGTATTTAATATAAAACTAAATATTTTTTTACATCTGGCTTTATACATATTATGTGGTTCATAAAAATAAAATTAAATAGCTACTGCATATTTAACATGTATATGAGCCGAATGAAATCAGTCCAGTGTCCACTCGAAAACGTTGCGCTTGTCGCGACCTTTACCCAATAACCTCTCATATTATGTGACCTAAATAAAGAGCGCCTTGGATTGTCGTTAAATCTTACATAAACCACCTTTTATATTTTGTATCACATGTATGCAATTGTCTTGTTGGTCTAACGGTTAGTGTATATTATTACTAGTAGTATATACCTATGGCTGAAGGTCATGCGGTTTTGGAGTTGAATCCTGGGTGAGGGCAAAAGAGCTAAAAGATTTTATCAAGAAATTACTAACAGCAGTCCGGATTAGTATGAAATATTTACTACATAGGTGTTTCATAAAAAACTGTCCGCTGAGACAGAAGAATCTGTCAGAAATCCGTATTACACTCATTAATTCGGGTAACGTATTTATTTGGATCGATTAAATTAATCGAAACATTTTATTAGACATATTACATAAATGACGACACGTTTGGCTCAGTGTGTAGTGACCCTACTTGCTGTGCCAGCGGTCGCGGGTTCGAGTCCCGCTGGGGACATTCATTGTGTGATGAGCATGAATGTTTGTACTCCAGTCATGGGTGTTTATATTTATAATATGTATGTGTTTAAAGTTTATATATGTGTAGTGTAAGAACTATCTGGTATCAATAATACAAGCCTCGTAGCTTACCATGGAACTAGATGGCGTTGTGTATTAATGTCCCAACATATTTATTTATTTATAACTAGTGGCTTACCCTCGCTTCACTATGTTTTATATAGATATGAATAGTTATTGCGAGTGTTCCTCAGGAGAAAAACTTATGTTATTGCAAATTTATTTGTAGGCCTTATAAGACTTACAGTTTTCTAGTACATTTTTTGATGTATCTCTTAAGGTTTAGCCAGCGTTAAATACGGTTTCTAAGAATGACTTGATAGAACCAGTTATTGTGTTATCTCGTGGGAATGAAAGATTTTCGTGTAGTAAAAGCTATTTTAAAAATTGATTCGAGTAATAGAACTAATAAAAGGATTTACCCTGAGTAAAGCTGGTGGTTCGAGGTTTACTTAAAGCGTTTTCTTTAAAAAATGTTAATAAAAGTGGCATCTGCGTCCGCTCTACTACTATCTCATAAGCTACAAAATATGGAATTAAAGAAATAAATAAAGTATTACTTATTTTACAAACACAGTAATCAAATCAAAAGTATTTCAAAACTGAGCATGAGAGCAACAGTCCGCTGCAGGTTATCATGAAACGAACAAATTGTAGAGCAATATTTTTTAAGTATAAAGAAATTGCGCTTAAACGTAAGTGTCTGGAGAGCTTTCATCGCAGATATGGGTCAAGTGATCTCAGTTCAATGTCCACTCGAGCCCCACGCGGCCCTTGCCCACTGCCGGCGTCCACTGTCCGCGCCCACTGCCGGCGCCCACTGCCGGCGCCCACTGTCCGCGCCCACTGCCGGCGCCCACTGCCGGCGCCCACTGCCGGCGCCCACTGCCGGCGCCCACTGCCGGCGCCCACTGTCCGCGCCCATTACCCGCGCGCATTGCACGCTTGCTACTGACAAATGGGTAATGCCCTTGAGATGACAATAAACAATTAATTCAATTCGAACTTTTCAAAAAGGTATCTGTAACTTGTATAAAAATAAATTGCTCTTCTCGTCAGTTTTTAGACTACTTTTTCAACGTTATTGTTCGCTTTGAATTTTCATGCAATTTAAAAATGGTAAAAACATTTTATTATACGTCACATAGGTTTGAGCACGTAGCAGTCTGGGCGGAACACATATATATATATATATATATATATATATATATATATATATATAAATGAAGATGGGTTAGTTAAAAATAGTGTACCACTTTTAAGTTAAGAACGGCTGAACCGATTTATATGACCTCTAGAATAAAAAATCCAAGCAATCGGTTTGATATTTTTCTCTGCCCCGAATAGCAGAATAATTATTAAAACATCAGGAAAATGCACAAAAACAAACAATTATATGACTAAAGCCGGCTAGTAACTATTTATATCTATTGAAAACGTACCTAGGGACGAACCTGAGCGAAGCGAGTGTGAGCCGCTAATTTTAAATGAAACTAAAATAATATCTATTTTAGAAATGATTTACACAATTATGTTATTCATTCATATTATTATTATGTTGCTTAAATAATATTTTAGTGCATTGCATTATTTTAGTACCATCTGAAAATATATATTTCAATTTGAAGCTCCAATTAAGATTAATTTAAATATTTAGATTCAATATAATAATTAGAAAATTCATGTTTATAGTGTATTTTACATCCATTTTGTACTTTGTCTTTTTACATACCGATATGTTTGTTTGCTGTGACTTACATATGTAACGATTGAATATCGAGAGCGAATCCAAAAACCCTGCGAATCAAAACGTAGTTGAATATTTTCTACTTGCACCTACATAAAGCTGAGCACGCAGCACGGCGCGGCGAGGACGGATGTATAATAAATTATTTTTATGTGAATATTAAACAAAAACATTTAGATAGATTTTAATGTTGGTGAACGCAACATATGCGTTGGTTTCCGGTGATTTTGTACAAATGATTTAAAGGATAATTTAAACCAAACTATGAATCGTATTGTGTTAACCTTTAAATTATATAAAAGGTTTTTAAAATATTTTATTTATAAACTCAGTAACACTAGCCTAGCCAAGTCATAGTATAGAAGCTTGTAATTTATTAAAAAACTGAGCAACGCCTTGACGGGTCTGTAGGTTTTATTAATGTACAGATGACAAACAATGTAATTTGCTAATAATACATTGACAACTGGTATATTACTAAATAATACATAAGAGTGAACCCTTGCCTTTTTTAACATCATTTTTTGTAAAAATACTAGCGACTCACCCTCGCTTAGATCGGGTTCGTCCCTAGGTACTTTTTAAATTAAAATGGATATAGTATGTTATCCTTAAGAGATAGACATATGCCATCGCGGATTTTTCTGTAGACCTATATAAGATACACAATTCCATCATACATTATTTTGTTACATCTCAAAGGGTTTAGGCAGCGTTTTCGTTGAAAGCTCCCAGACGTCTTATTTTTTCCGACACCTCCAACAAATATCGTTATATTTTAGCCAATGTATACAAAAACTTAACAAATCATATACTAAAACCTTCCTCTTGAAACACTCTATCTATTAAAAAAACCGCATTAAAATCTGATGCGTAGCTTTAAAGATTTAAGCATACATAGGGATATAGGGACAGAGAAAGCGACTTTGTTTTATACTATGTAGTGATACTGAATACTCATCTCCCATCGTAAAAATTTGTATCTAAATAATACGCGTCCCTGGCGGGCGCCTTTCTCAAAAAATCAATTAACAATTGATATCACATGACGTAGTGGTAGGACAGAGTACCCTCGAGGGGCGTTTGCCTCATAAACTGTCTCTTATGCACAACAACGAGCCATAAACTTACTTCTATAAATCACGCCTACCCCGTTGGTCAGTTGTGCGTAAAGGGAGAACAAACCAACAAACTGACTTTTGAATATATAAATATTAACTATTTTCTTAGATTTACGAGAATATTTGAAATTTTAAATAAAAAATAAAAACATTGTAACAAAAAAAAACCGACTTCAAAAAAGCACTAAAAAGTAAAAAATAACTGATTGGTCGTTTTCATTTACTATACATACTTAATCAAATATTTTCGAAGTCGGTGCCAGCCGATACAAAGCAAAGCACACTGAAAAGATAGTTTTATTAAAAATTAACTATAGAGTCAATTTCTTGACGTAAAAGCGCTTTCGTATATATTTTGTAACCTCGTCGTGAGTGTGGAAAAGTCGGTATAATAAATAACGCCGCAACCTACTAAAAGCATGTACACGTACAGTATATAGACGTATAGAGCAGTATACAACCTTGCACGTTCTCGATAAAAGTATTCCGTAATTACAATTTGGCACAGGATTCAACCCCCCATCCCACGCGCCACATCCAGCGGCTTGAGGGACTTAGCCGTGATGAAGATTGGCATCTCATCGAGGCGCGATAATGCCCACAAATTAGATGAATTACACCAGACTGCTGATGTAGTTTTTGATACAATAATCGCTGTGGTAACTTGAGTGGTGAAATATTACGGGATTTACTAAGACATCTCATGAAAATAACATCGTAAATGTTGAGGTACGATGAATAGCTTTACCGTTAATAAACACGTTTACTAGAGAAATTACACAATATGTATCATGCTACATATATTTTTTAATACAATAAATCATTGTTCTAATACCGCTAACATTCGCTAAGCCTTATCGAAATCTACACAATATTGTTTAATGTATAATATTATAAAACAGGTACTTATTTGTCATCAATAATAGATGGAATTTGTTGCCAAAACACAATGTAACGATCTTTGCTCAAAGCTGAACGCATTGTGAATCGTGATACGAAACTTCTCGCCCGGCCCTGACCTATTTACACTCGCTGCCATGTGAGATAACGTAAGGGCGTCGTCACACCGTCGACACCATGGCGAATAGTACCATCGCATTTTAAGTATTACTTTAGCAACAGAGTGTATTTTCAGAAGCTTTTTTTCAGAAAAGCTAACTTACTAATTTTGAATGACTGTCGCAACATTTATATCAAAAAATATGATTTTTATTTCGGCAGGAAAAAATAATTTAAAATTATAATTTACCACATATAAAAATTGAGATAAAAATAATGAATATAGTTAAATGAACTTCCATTATATTAGTCTCTCAAGCAAATGTATAAAATTTTAGATTAAAGAAATCGTAAGCCACTACAAGTGTGTGGTGTGGTTGTGTGGGTCACTACACACGTTTATAATATATATTTAAATTTTATTATAAGTATGTAATGATAAAGATAGTTAAAGAAATCCATCTAAACTTTTTCATATTATATTCTAAACCATATATGAAAGCTATAGCTACGAGTATATATAGAGTGACGTAAGGACCCGCGTATGTGTTCCTCTAAAACCGTTCCCGTGTCGTCCCGCCCACCGCCGAGGCCGCAGAGGAGAGCGGCCGCGCACGTCCCGGCTCTACGGCGATATTCTAAGAACGTTTTATCTCACGGAAAATTCTCATTTCGGTAATGCAGTCTTCCGTCTTTTTGGACACCTCGGGCCTGGAGCGATTTTGCATAATATATCTCAGTTAATCTTGAATGAATAAAAAATCAAAAGAAGTAAAAAATATTTATAACAGATAATTTAACTTTTGATTACTTTTTTGCCTTATTAACCAGGTATACTTCGTAATCAAACAATGTTATAATATAATAGCCCAAACAGCAAACTATAAAAGAACAGCCGATATAAGCAAATAAGTATATTGTAATAATTATTATCACGTTTTTCAAGTTTTCTTTCCGCCCAAAAAGCTTAGCAAAAATATCAACTCTGACAAGCGTAAAAATATTCCTGTTATACTCAACGTGTTAACGCCAGAAAGTTACTTAATTACAAGCCGGAGGTCGATAAAGTTGTCGCTGTGTTCCAGCGCGAAGCCCACAGATACTCTGCGAAGTTGGGAGCATTCTCATAGTTTGTTTGTCAGTATCTAATTTATTAACAAGCATTTTTATACACAAAATTTGTGAAACACGACTCGACACTCGTTAACGAAGTTGAGTTAATAGTTACTTGTGGCTCGGTTTATTTTACTTCTACCAAACGTATCAGCTATAGCTAAAAGTTCTACCATGATATTAAGAACGTAGTCTCTTTCTATTATAAATTAAAAAATATCTTAAATATCATACGCATGGCTTGCGTAAGTATGAAACCTGTTTTTCATCCTTATTAATGAAAATAACCCTCTCTATCGCCATAACCTCCAGCCCATCGGTTTATTTTACCAGAATTAGGCACGAAAGTTAAGATTGCTCTCCGAATAACCGATATAATTTAGTCGATTAGTTTAATGGACCGCACTGAGATAAGAGTAAAAGGCCCGCAGCAAAGATAACAATCGTGACGGGTCACTAGACGCGCTCCTTCAGGCTTATCCAGATAATGGTTTTGATAATGAAATTTTTAAAAGCAATTTTTAATGCTTAATCGAAAATATATACACTACTATTTAGTATTAGACCGAGCTTTTTCATTTACATAAATTACTAACTAAAGCTCCCATATTGAAACACTCTTTATTTGTTACACAAAGATATAAATATGATTTTTCGTACTTAACCTACCACGTACGTTACCTACCTTGAGAAAGAATGAGGCCTCTATGCAAACTTTGTCCCCTATGTCACCCACTTCAAGTTTTATTTTGTGAGAAAAGGTTGCTTATTTTCTTCTCCAAGGTCCAATCTGTCCCAAATGTCATCAATACTGATACAGCGGCTTAGACATGAAAACATAACAAAGAACAGACAGACAGAGAAACTTCGTATTTATAATATTAGTTTAGTTTATTTTGCTTACGCCCAAGCAATTATATTTGAGGTGTTAATGGTTTCTAGAATGAAATTTGGCAGAGCCGAACTGTCGATATTAAAAAGAATATATTATGTTTATTTTATAATATTAATATTATTTCCTGATAACATTTTAATTTTTTTAAATGTAATTTAGCATACTTTCTTTATTTTGCGTTTACTGCAGCGTGGTAATGGAATTATTAAGAGTTAAATTATAATATCTAATCAGATTTCAACCATTGTCCTCTACACGATTGGTCAATATTTTTTTTAGCCGGTGGCAATGCCGTCATAAATGGCGTGACATTTACGTGGTCGTTTGTTAAATTCATACAATTATTGTATATAAATGTTAAATTCATACAATTATTGTATATAGTTAAAATATATTCATGCAGTTATCTTCATGATAATTTCCTTTAACGTGTTAACAAATCTCAAAGATGCAAGACCAAAGGTTTGAACCCGCTTCATTGAATTCGTAAGCAAGCATGCTGCCTATTGACTACTACTGAGTACTGCTATTATTGCACTGCTACCACCTTATATGATAACGATATAAAGTAACTGTAATATACCAAGTAATAATAAATGGACCAAATGAAACCCGGAGCTATGTAAATAGCATCATTAAAGCATTTTCACTCGCAATGTATCTATTGTATATTGTTTATATTTAACTAGCAACTGACTCTCGATTCTCTCGGGTTCGTCTCTCCGTACGTTTTAACAAATAGTATGGAATAGATATACTATGTATTATAGTAGTGACTCACCATCGCTCTGCTCGGGATCGTCCATAGGAGCCTTTTAATGGTTAGTATAGATTTCTCAGAGATGAGATATTTTCCCGCAGTTAAAAGTATTTTATACTTTGACACGGATATCTAGCTATCAACATACCAAATTTCATCAAAATCTGTCCATTGGTTTTCTCGTGATGCGTTCCCAGACAATCAAAAATTTTTATCCCAGAAACCATCCTTTAAGGGGATGAAAATAGGGATAAAAGTTTGTATTGGGAAGCAAGATAGTGACGAACCCGAGCAAAGCGAGTGTGAGTCCATAGTTATCGATAGGGCAAATAGGCAGAATCTATAGTTTTTCGAATTCTTGTTTATCTGAGTATTTTTACTGCAAGAATTTGGGGTATCTCATCTCTGAGGAATCTATACTAACCGTTAAAACGTTCTTATGAGCGAACCCGAGCGGAGCGAGGGTGAGTCACTAGTATAATATAAATTTTATAGGTATATTTTTTCATTACAGTAATGTTGGACGTACAGTGAATTTGAATATGAATGAATGACCCTCCTATTCAATTTTCCAGTAGATATTGAAAGGTTTTAGAAATTAAAGTAAGTTGACAATTTTTTTAACAAGTTTTTAAGAACTTTCCTTATAAATAACTCTGAGTCTCTCTATTTATCTTGAAGAATATTTCAAAAATATACCACGAAATCTAGTATTTTTAAGAAAAGTCGCTAAAATATAAAGTACAACTACAAACCTACAACGTATTCTATACAACGTTTATATTTTATTCTATCACTTAAATCTGCGAAAATCGAACTGACGAGAATTATGAGAATGCCTGGTACGAGCTACTCGTGTGCCAAATTGTCTGTAGTCGGACGGACAGCCAGCCGCCAGGTAAATATTCCTTCATCAATACGATAAAAACTTGTAGTTATTCATTGAGTAAAGTTTATCAATAAATAAATTATTGATATTTGCTAACAAAAACAATAGATTTTAAATGTATAAAAATGTATGGACTTAAAATTTAATAATGTTAGGTAATTCAATCTTTAATAAATATTTTACTAAATAATAACATTGAAAATTGATTTGAGCATCAATTTATTAAGTTACTAGCATTGCCGGCGGCTCCGCCCGCGTTCAGATGACCAAAAACCAAATTCTTAAGGTATTACATATTAGTATACACTTACATTGCAGTTTTTGTATTTTTCTCAAAAATGAGATATTTTCCTGCGGTAAAAAATGTCCTTTATGTTGACCCGAATGGCCAGCTATCATGATACCAAATTTCATCAAAATCTGTCCAGTGGTTTTCTCGTGATGCGGTAACAGACAGACAGACAGACAAGAATTCTAAAAACTATAGATTCGGACTCTGTATCGATAATAATGTCTATTTCAATTAGATTTTCCAAAAAATATTTAATGTAAAGATTCGACTTAGTTACAATTTTATTATATGTATATATATTAATAAACAACGAGTTTGTTGTGCTATTTGGTAATGTAAGTTATTTAAACTAAGAATGCTTTAATCTAAGACTGGCACGAGTAGTGCCGGAATGATGTTCAGCAAATCTCGGGATTCAATTCTGCCTGATAAATATCTGGATGGTTTAAGTTCTATCAAGTTCGCGGAGGTCCCGATAAGAGGCGGCGAATCGAATATTAACAGGTTATTGATCTTGGAATCGGCTTCAGGAATGTTAAATATACATTTCATTTCAAAGTGTAATATTTAACTTTAAAGTGAGATATGGCACGATTATACGAAATTTTCTGTAGATTCAATAATAAATTAATTTAGCTACGATGATCATAATTGCTTTGTAATTATTATTTTTAAGTAAACATGCCTGAGTATCGACAAGAATATTTAAAGTATATCTGATAAGAGCCTTTTGGACTTTGTCCTTGAGTTACTTCTGCGTAACATTTCCTCGATTTGCTCGTAAATTTTATATGGAAGATTAATATCTGTTTCATTATTTTTATCTTAATATATATAAATGTTATCTTATTTTTAAGTAATTGTTTGTTTATGAATCTAAGAACTTAGTAAAGAGGATACCATTTTGTAATGCAATCCGTTAAATCCGTTGGAAAGCAAAACTCAATGCACTGCCTTATCATAACGAGACCTCGAACGTTGACCTTATATTAGAATCATACTATAACTTGACGGCTGGACGGATTTAGATTAAATTATATAAACAATTTAATTAAATTAAACTCCCTAAGGATAAATAGTATAATAAAACAAATATTTTCTAGAAACAAAGAGAACTAAACGACTCTATTTATTACAACAGAACAAATTGTACACAAGTCAAGGATCTTCTAACTCTTGCTTATTTAAAGTCTTAGCGAGCTCGGAACAGTCTAACAGCACTCTAAATTTTCATTTATTT